GCTTCATACTGAAATTGCCTTTTACATAGACTATCAGTAACAAGGAACTTAGGAAGTACTGTCTGGTAGCTGGAACACACAGATTTCTCCCATCTCATCATACCTAAGTATTGCTTGCTATTTTTCTTTAAAATTTTCAGTTGTACAGTAAATCAAGCTTCTAAGTTGTGAATCCACGTAGCAGCCCAACACAGAAAGGCTGCTATGTTGCTAATTCATTCCCTTGCCAGTGCATGTTAATCCCCCAAGTAAGCCCTTGCTTAAGCTCATTGCAGTGTAAATCATTTCCACAAGATGAGCTTGCACCCATGAGCAAAATCAGATCACAAATAAATCTTTAGATAATCTTATATACACCTAATGCAAATCATACAGCCATTTCTGAACTCAGGCCATTATTTTCTACCCATACCCGTTGAAGGAGACCATTACCATTTGGAAAGCTGCAACAGATGGTTCTAATTATTTGGACATTGTTTTATCACTAAAAATCAAATTACAAAAGCTCTCATAGAATGACTTTCTTCATCTGTCAAGTTTTCCATCTTTATTTTGGCCGAAATAGACCAAGTTTATTTTTATAAATATTTATAAATAATATTTTATTGCCTGCTTCCTTTGCCAGATAGTTGAGGGACAACTGTTAATTTTTAGCATCCATTTGCCTGCAGATCTGTTAGTTACCCTGTCAGGAAAGCCCTCCAAGCAGCCACGTAAGTGATGGTATTTTGATGTTGTAATCACTTCACATATAAGGGTAGGGCCACATCATGGTTTATGTGAGTTGTCAGGTCCAACATCATAGAATCAAAATGCAAGTGATTGTAGCATTAATTCAGAAGGAATCAAACAAAGCGAGTACAGGGTCAGCAAGTGTGCCAGAAGCTGGCCCTGCTGCAATTACTGGCATCTTCATGGACTGCTTGTTTACATTTGTGTTTTTGGTTTAAACAATCGGGTTATTTTGGATGGTGCCTGTAAAATCTTCACTTAGGAAATGGATGTGCCTTCAGCAGAGTCCTTGGGATTATATCCCAGGGCCACAAATGGAGAGAGTTAAAGCCAATCTGTGGGAAAAATGGACAGGTAAAACCATCTCACGTGAGCACTTGAAAACTTGATTCACCCATTGAATATTCAATATATTACTTGAATAAAATCCAATACCTTCCTTCATTATGTTAAACCACATCATTAGAGAGAAGGAGCAAGTCTGTGGCTTATACAGTACAGCCTTTTAATTCGCTATCACGTGGCTGCAATGATGCTGAGCACCCATAAACACAATTTATTGAGGTAGATCTGTTGAATCCAGATCAGCTGAGCATTTAGCATGGCAGTGTGAAACAGCTGTAGCTGGGGGAACATCTCACAACATGTTCTTTAACTTTTTAAGTTTTCCAATTGCATTCTCAAGGGATCTAAACTTGCTGTTAATAGCATGAAAATGATCAGTCTGAAATGCACAGTGTACTCCAGCAGTTAGACAGTGTTGGTATGAGATGGATTCAAAATCTGTGCTTTACTAAATCTAAAAGGCAGGACCTTTCCCCTAGTACAAACTAATTTTTTTGCTGATTCATGCCAGCTGTCATTGACCATACATCATTTTGGTGCTAAAAGAGGCTAATATGGACATAACCTGGTAAGACTCAGTGTCTGTAGTGAATGCAACCTGCTCTGCTTAGCTGCTTTCCTGCTAACCAGGCTAGCTGAAGAGATTTTTAATAGTTATTTGGGTTTTCTTAGGTTGAAAAGGGTCATAGCAACTTGAAATATTCTCCTATAATTTAAATTTATTTCTCCTGAGAAACCAAAAGTAAAAAAAAAAAATTTGCATAGAGGGGTAACAGCTTTTGAGAATATCTGCAAAAACCAGCTTCTCAGTAGAGTTAATCACCAAGCTTGGAATTTCTTTTTCATATTTCTAGTCCTCATCTTCATGCAGTAAAATATTTATATTGACAAGCATTTAGCTTATTAATTAAAATTACCAAAAGGCCAGCTTGTTAGCTTTTTCTCTTCTCAGAGAGGAAAAGAGAAGAATCTTAAATTTTATGAATAGCCTAAAGCTTTCATGATAGTGCTACTTTGTCTCCAGCTGGGTCTTACTCTGTACAGAGAATAGGTGTGTATTAGAAAAGCAGCATTTTTTTCAACAGAGTAAATTTTTAATTCTCAAGCGTAAGAGTATTTAAATCTTTATTCTGAAAGTTTTCTATTGTTAAATTATGCCAAACTGGAGAAATACATTATGTGAGTAAAATGAGGTATAAATTGTTCTTGATTAGACTACAGCTATTTGTATTGGTCTAGCATATTTATTTAGAAAATTTCCACCAGTTTAATGGAATTATTTTTTATCACAGTTGAGGGCTTCTGTTGAAATATATATATATACACACACATAAAGATGCACATTTGTCTTCTCAGATTCAAATTGCACTGTTCTAAATGGTTTTCATTCTTTATTGACTTGCCACTTTCATACAGCTGGATACTTGCCACATCCCACTGTCTCGGGATAACACTGGCAGAGTGAATGAAGAGCCATCTCTCCATTCATATCTCAGTTATTCTTACTGCTAATAACATTGCAGCAAAAGTGGCTATGGGATTTTATGGATTCCCCTGAAGGCAAGACCCAAAGTCTGTGTAATCTAAACATCCCTTACTTTAGCTTCTCACTGAGACTGAAGGCTCTATGTAATCCCTGGTGTTTATTGCCTTCCAAATTCCACTCTATAAGCATCAATAGTTTATATTTCATCCAGTGCTGCCAGCAAACTGTAATCTGAGTTTACAAATGTGTCACATGAGACATTTTTCAGCTTTTGACACAGCACAGCACCCGCAAATGAATAAACGAGGCCAAAATGGCCAAGTCAGCTTCTCTTCAGCAAAGAGATAAGGTGAGACACCTTTGGGTGTGAAATTGATAGTCCATTTCTCAAATGAATTTTTGCAACAGTGAGTTCCCATATGTTGAAGTACAGCATAATGGGTGTGACAGGCAAGCACTACCTGCCCTGAATTACATTTATATAATACTCTTCTATGTAATAAATCTCTCTATAGGGGCAAATCCTTAGCATGCCCAACAGATAAGCTGGAAAGGAAGTGAAAAAAGGATCCTTTGCCTTTCTCCCCAGTTTAGCCTCTTTGGTATGCATTGCCAGAAATGAGGCAGGGTTATGATTTAGTGCACACACACTGCTAAGAAGATTGGGTTTGAGAGAAGGGGAAAGAAGTTAAACATGGTTAAATTGCATGCCGAGGCAGCCCTGCTCTGAAAGCACAGTGCTGGCTGTGCCTGGTGTCCCCACAGTGAGGCAGCCCTGCTCTGAAAGCATGGTGCTGGCTGTGCCTGGTGTCCCCACAGCCAGGACTGCATGCCTCTCCGTGTGCTGTCTGCTCTCACACTACCTCTCACACATTTTTCAAGGGTAAATGCTACACAGGGTGACATTTTTTATTGCTGCCTAACCACTGGAAATAAGTCACAGTCCCTTGGTGCAGCTAGTACCACAGGATGCTCCCTTCCATTTCTTACTACTTCTACAGCAATATGATCTTTGATGAAGTGCCACATGGGCAGTAGCCATCCCATCACAGGTAGAATCTGTCAGGCCACTGAGAAGGCTTGAAAGCAGCTTTCTGTTTTGGAGCCATAGCTTTCGTATCATTTACTACATCACTTCAGCCCTAGGAGCTTTGTTGTCAGCATTTCCATTCCAGACCTGCTGCTTTGTGGATACTCAGGGTGTGCAATGCAGTCCACCATGCCCTCCCTGTCACCAAATGCCACTGCACTGGGGAGTGTCCCAAGGGGGTCACAGAGTTGAGGGAATAATGCCCACAGCCAGGACTGTTGTGCAAGGAGGAGCTGCAGCATGTGCATTTCATAGGTAAGTGAGGAATGGAAGGCAGAAAGGAGAAGCAGCAGTATGGGAGACTAGGAGCTAGCAACAGGGAGAGAAAAAGGCTGTTCTCATCATTTTCAGATGGCTTCTTAAATACTACCAGTGGGACAAAGGTTATCATCTTGAACCCGTTCTGTCACCCAGCTCCTGTCCCACAGGCCTAAATTAGCATTAGCCCACACCCTGCATGTGCTGAGCTGCACAGCAGAGAAATGTGATGAACAAAGCAGGTCCCCAGCTCTGACAAGGTGCCATACCTTTGACTAAGCTGTCCAGATCTGACCACGAGTGTGAGGCTTAACTTCTTTTGACTTGGTAAATAAGAATGTCCATGAGGCAATTCAGACTCTTCTTGCTGATAATGCTAATGAGTGCTGAGTGGATTAGCTGTAGGCTGTCTTGCTGCTGAATTTATCCAGTGATAAATCTGAATTCAATTTTTAAAAAAGCACATAGAGAATTTATTCATATGCTGAAGATTCAGGGCAGTGAAAGGGGTGTCAAGACTATTTAATGTATTTGTTTTTACATGGGCAATGTTACTGCTTTTGTTTTATCTCTTGTCTCCTACCTTTTTATGGAGGATTTCCCAGGTTTTGCAGCACTGTAAGTTAGTGGATAGTGAGCCTGGGGAGACCCAAAGGATTTAATGTTTGCCAATGTGGGATTTGATATCATTGCTCGTAATAAATCCAAAGTATGAGAGGTTATTCTTTGCTGTCAGTTTGTATGTCAGCCAGCACTGTGCCCAAAAGTGTGGGAGTTACCCAGGGTGAGTTTTATGCTAGTGCATCTTTGCCTTTTCCATATCATTGTCATAAATTCCTTAGTTGCCTTTTCCAGTCTGTTTTCCCTGCTGCTGTTTTCTTAAGATAAATCTCTACTGTCAAAGTAATGAAAGTTACTTGAGGGAGACTCGATTGCAGGGGATGTGAACAGAACTCAGAGCTGTGTATTTCATTTGCATTACCCGTGGAAGCGAACGCTCTGCCTTTCTTCAACAGCCTAAGCATATGTTCCCTGGAATAAGTGTCTTGAATGGACTCAGCTTTTCTTTTCCTTTTTTGCATGCAGGGTTTGAACATGAGCACCCAGCCACACACTGTGACCAAGGTAGAGATCCCCAGCCATGTTCTTTACACTGTAGGAACGTGTGTGCTCATTATTGGCTCCGTTGGCATCATCGGAAATCTCCTAGTTCTCTACGCATTTTTCAGGTACAAATATTCCTTCTCTGGTTAATCTGACTGGCCTTGAGGTTCACATGTGCCTGTGTGCACATGTGTACTTGCATCACTGATAACCTTGGTATAAATTCCTCATGTTTGAAGGAATGAAAGAAAATTAATACCCTGTTCTATAAACAAGTCCAACTGGAAGTTTAAAGAATGGTTTAATATTTTTATTGATAGAAACTGTAGTCTCCCTGTTGCAGACTTCTTCAGTAACCCTGCAGTATTTGCAGAAATACTTGATAAACACTGACACTCTTCCCAGCAGCCCAGATGTCCTGGAAGGACTAAGAAAGCAATATGCTACATGAAATGAGCTCGTGCCACCAGTGTATTCCCTGCTTCAGGCAGATCATAGGATTTCTGTCAGTTCGTGTGCTCTCTTGGCTTCTGTACAGGTAATAGACAGCCAAAACTACTGCAGCTAGACTATGCAAAATTCTCATGGAAAAAAAAAAGCTGCCTTCTGTCCTACACTGTGGTGCTGGATTTCACAATCCTCCTTGTTTACTGCTTGCTGTCATTACGTGTGTTGATGCACAGGGGGCTTACAATGCTAGAGGCATCCGTGGGGTTATGAACCAAGCATTAGTTTCCTAGTCTGAAGTGTTTCAGACAAATAGATCAGTTGTTTTGAATAACTGGCTTCAAATACGACTCAGAGGAGAAATTTAATTCCCTGCACCTGTAAATACCTTCATGATTTTTAAATGCAGTGCAAGCTCTGCATTTTTCTTGAACTGTGTCTGTTTTAGCAGGTGGAATAAAAGCATTAACTTGTCATAGTAAAAAAATCTGCACAGGCAAACAAGCACCTGAAAAGGGTGAACTCTGCACCTTCTCTCACCCAGCTGCAGGCAGTTATAAAACCCAAGTATTTGTTAGAATTCAGAGCATTGAGATGGCTTTCTTAACTTTCCTTTTAAGTGTTTGTATATCAGCATGAGGAAAGAAATTCATGTTAGCTGCAAATACTGATATTGCAAAGCACATCAGAGAGGCCTCAGTTGTTCAGCTTTTAACATTAAAGGATGTTTAAGGGAAAAGAAAGAATTACTTCAAACTGTTGAGAATTACTGCATGCAGGTTGCAAGAACAAAACTGTTTTATAAACATATAAGCATATAAAATCCCACCTCCTCCCTATCTCACAGAGTGTGCCAAGTCATCTCTTTTTGTATGATATGTACCTAACACTCTGAAAAGTCCTGAATTCAAACTCTAGGTATCAAAGCTCTTTACCATACAGCCTATACAGTGATTCACACTGAGGGACTACTAGTTCAGTGTTACACCTTCTTATTATACCCCCCAAAAGTGACAGTTCTAAGGTGTATTTGGGTGAGCTGAACTCACAAATTAGTTTGCCTTTCCTAGTTGGACACAATATTTAATCAGAGCAACAAAGTCATGTTCAACCAAGTAACTCCAAGTGAGAGGTTCTTTGTCATGTTACCAGTATCTTTATTCCTCTCAACCAGAGGGTAATCTTGAATACCCACTCTAGGTTTCCAAGGATATCCCTAGGAAATGAGACAATGTGAGGTGGTAAGATGTGGGAAAAAAAAAATGGAAGTGATGTTTGTTTTCTTTGGCTCAGCTTTGCTTGCAGACTGTCTGCTGCTTTCACACTCCTTGTTGTGACTTTTAATGTTGCCTGTTCATCTGCAGCTGAGAGCTTTTGTACTCTCTTAAGAGATGTACATGAGAAAAAGTACTTTCTCCAAACTCTGTGCATGCTCTGCTTGTGCCATAGCACTTGGCAAAAGGTTATTTAGGTAATGTGTCAGCTCTTCAGGTCAACAATTTTCAAAATATCACAAAAAGGAGATCCTTTGTGTCTGTAACCTTCTTCAGATCCTGGTCTTGTGCAGTGCAGGACACACTCAGTATTACAGCACTTAAAGGGAACTGCTCTTACCCTGAGCAAATCCGTATTTATCAAGACAGCTGAAGGTCTCCTCAGTTTGAAGAGGAAACAATCCATTTTATCCCCTCGCTCTTATCAGTCATCATTTTGAAATTACTACAGCTGTAGCTACAGTAATTGACTGATGATTACCACACATTTCACTGCAAGTTACCCTTGATTCCAACATGGACAGTATTTGTTTATGCTAGTAAGCAAACTTATAAAGTTAACTGTTCACTCTGTCTATTTAAAATCATGTGTTTCTCATGTTTTTAAGCAACAAGAAGCTGAGGACACCCCAAAACTACTTTATAATGAATTTAGCTGTGAGTGACTTCCTGATGTCGGCTTCTCAGGCACCTATGTGTTTTGTCAACAGCTTGCACAGAGAGTGGATACTTGGAGATATAGGTACTTTTCAACACTAATTAATACCTCACCAGCTCTACACTGTCTGCAGCCTATTTTAGCCATAAGAGTCTTGGAGGCAGCAGCACAAATCTCTTGAGTTACAGGCCCAATTCTTGACATCATCAGTCAGCATGATGGTACATATTTTGTATTATACATTTGAATTCCTTCATCTTACATAATTTGGAAAGAAAAGAGTCAACATCAACATACAATCACATTACCCTTTAGCTTCTAAGTTCAGATGCTATGGCTGAAAATAGGTAGAAAATTATGTTAAGTTGTAAGTAGCTTTCTGTATTAGCTTAAGGGATAGTTACTACTTTTATTAAAAAATGTATGTTGATATCCATTAGCATACTTTTAGAAATCTCACATTTAATTAAGAGATTTAACAGTAGCCAGTTGAGGACTCTGCAAATTTAAGCTCCTTTCTTTCCAACTGCAAGAAAGAAAAGGTCAGTTGAGGACTCTGCAAATTTAAGCTTTTTTCTTTCCAACTGCAAGAAAGAAAAGGTGACAAATGCCCTGATTATAGCTGAAATGTGAGTATAGCAAGATCCTCAGAAGGCATGATGCTCTGCTTGGTGCAGTTAATCACATCATTGGGTGAAGATTTGCACCAAGTAGTTGTTATGTAATGGTGGAGCAAGCCCAGAGACCACATACTCTTTAGCAGCACAGAAGGGACCCTTCCTTAGTTTGAGGATGTTTTCAGTCTCACATTGAAGCAGTATAAATTATCATGCTCCCACAAAAGAGTCAAGTGATTTGGCTTGAGTAGGATTTGGTCCTTAGCTGCAGGTGACTTATAAAGACTCTAGAAGTCTGTTTTAAGATTGAATCTGGCATTTTGACTGCCTGCCATTCCCAGTGGGCTCTTGTCTATAACCACATGAGGTAATGCAAAATCTCAAAAAATGGGTGATCTTTTAACAAAGTTTTCTGAATTAAATTATGGACAGCATAACTGTGCAAGCTTTCATTAGTGCAATGCCTGAATGCAGAGGGTGGAAAAAAATCTGTTTCATGTAAAAAGTGTCAGCTTTTTAAAAAAGTGCTGCCATTACATATAGGAGTTGGAGCTATGTATTACAGCTGGTCTTTTAGTCAGAAAATTTAAACCCCTTCTACATTTTTAAGCCATGTAAACCAAAGTAATTTTTTGAAACACCCATCTGTCATTAGCAGGGAGATGTCTGCTGCAGCCTATTGAGATCAATATATTGGGCAACGGTCCAGGAAAATATAAATTTAATTAGACTGGATTTCCTTTGAGGCAATTTTCCATTGACAAAAGGTTCCCAGTTGCAGCCTGCAGTGGAGTAGGACTTGTTAAATACATATATTTGTATTTTATTTAGATTTGTGTTTTTCTAAGAAACATTTAATAACTATGAAATTAGGAGGCTAAGAAAATTCTTCTAATGAGAGATAAGTCCTGAGGCAGGAAAAAAAAAAAGGGAGGTTTATTATGACGGGCTCTGAGAGAAAACAAGAAAATCCCTAATGTTGCCCTTTTCTGCTTCAGGCTGTGACTTGTATGCTTTCTGTGGGGCACTCTTTGGAATAACTTCAATGATGACTTTATTGGCTATCTCTGTGGACCGGTACCTCGTGATCACTCAGCCCCTGCGGTCCGTACGGTGGACTTCAAAGAAACGCACCGTGCAGATCATTGCCGTCGTGTGGCTGTACTCACTGGGCTGGAGCGTGGCTCCGCTCTTCGGCTGGAGTATGTTGTCTACTCTCTCTTTCTTCTAGCCTTCCCTATGTGGTCTGTTTTAGTCTTGCTTGGGGTATAAAAATAAGAGTTTTCTCATAAGTTCCCTGGAGGGTGCCTAGTCACCAGCTGATGGCTTGTTGTACCATATAACTACACCTGCTGTGTTGCAGAGAGCCTCTCTCCCTGTCCCCAGATTGTGTTCAAGCAGAACAAATTGCAGATGGAGTATTAGATCTGTATCTGAGAGTCTGGCAGTCAGGTCCTCCTCTACACATGTGCACTCCCATTCTCAGATCACATGTATAATACAGACAGCACAGCTCTTGAACACTATGTATACAGTATGGGGTTTATTTTAAGGGCTTAGTTGTTGGAGAACAACAACTGTGCAAACCTTGGGTGTATGTGCTACTAATGTACTCCATGTATTCCATAGGTTCCTATGTGCCTGAAGGCTTGATGATATCCTGTACATGGGACTATGTAACCTACTCCCCTGCAAACAGAAGTTACACAATGATTTTATGTTGTTGTGTGTTTTTTATTCCCCTGATAATAATATTCCATTGCTATTTATCTATGTTCCTGGCCATAAGACGTACTGGCAGGTAAGCAATGTAGTTGAAAGAAGTACATATCCCTTTTCTTGTATTTGAAGATTTTCTTAATTTCTTTAGCTGCAGAAAAATCTGAATCAAAAGTAATCTGAATTGAAACCGGAACTGCAATCTGGTGTAGTGAAAAGTGTCCCTGGTCTTGACAGGGGAGTTGAAACTAGATGATTTTTAAGGTCCCTTCCAACCCAAACAATTCTATGATTCTATGATTCCATTCTATGTTCTCAGTGCACCAGGAAGGAGTTTGTTACCCTAATGGCTAGTAATTAATGTCTTCAGACTGAAATATATCTTCATTTTAACAACACTGATATGTAAAAATTGTCATTTCTATGCTAAACTGTATAAAATGCTTAACCATAGAAAATTGTTTTTTTAAATAAAATATGGGATGTTTGGTGTGAGAAGAGAATTTGATGGGACATTTTTTGGCAAAAATATTAGGACTGCCTAGTCCTCCCCCCTGAAAATACTCATCTCTAGTGGATAAATCTGCAGGTAACTAAAAATGTCTCTGTACTGGGACAGGTTCCTCAGAGCTGTCAGGGTATTCCAGCACATGGTACCTCGTGAACTTAAATTTATGCAAGCTGTTCCTCCCTTGAAAAGGATTTGATTTTTTCCATCCAGCTCTGTCTTTTCTTGCTCAACCTCTGAGAGCAATGAAGGGCAAGAAGTACCAATTTCTGCCCCTTTGCAACCTGAAACCTTCCTTGTGTTAGGATAAGGACAAGGCAGTCCTGTCCTGTAGTCACAGGTGTTTTAGCTCAGCCTCACAGGCAAACAGAATGCTTGCAACAATTTTACTACATTTATTATCTTCTAGAGTTTTTAAATATCAGAGGACAAAAGGAGAATTAGAGCAGGGAAATATGAAACCTGCTTCATTTTGCTGAGAACGTTAGAGATGTTGTACTTCACTTTTTCACTGTCCTGCTG